GAAAAGCAAGGTTTCTCAGAATTATCAAATTTGAAACTCTGAATTATGATACTGTTGAAATAGGTGCAAGTTCTGAGTCAGTATTGTTCATGTACAACATCACAAACTTGCAAAGCTTTAACTATGCTATAATTGGGCCCTCCTTATGCAGTTTCAAAACATGGAATTCTGCAAAATTTTAATTCCAGATTGATGCAAATTCCAGACTGCATATTGATGTGCATTATGGTTTACCCTGTTCATGCTCCCTAACGGAATATTTCATGCCATATGTTTTCTTTCCATAAGCTACAAATAGCTTCAACAGTGCCATACCTTCTTCAGATCAATGAAGGCTCTCCGTCCCTCAGCAGTGCTTGACTTCCACATTTTCCCCTTTGAGATGGACGTTGTTTTTGGTGTTAGAAGCATTGGCATCATAAGAAGGACCGTTGCAACTACATCCTCTGCAAAGAAGCAATCTTGGAAAATTAAGAGTGGATAAATAAATACTTCAATAACATCACGATTGTGGTCATACCCAAAAATGCTACATATACATGTACCTCAAGCATTGTCCAGACAGTACAGTGTACAGTTCCTCTCTAGAGGCCTTCTCTGTCTATGATTATTAGACTGAAACATCTCACGAGAAGTTGCAGTCTTGTTGAAGTTGAAGTTGCAGTGTTTCTGTGTACCAGGCCATCTTATACATGTATGTCCAATTGCACAAGGATACGGTGGATAGCAACGTTTCCTTAAAACGGAAGCATGCGTTTTATGTTTTAAAACCATTACACAAAAAAGATCGGATTACTAAAGACGGCAAAACTAACCGGGGAGGGGAATAATCAGCATCCACACTGTAAAAAGGTTGGTCAATTTTGGGTTGGTATTTTGCCCAATGTTGGTAAAAATATCAACTTAGCAACCTTTGGGCACATTCTTCCCAATATCTGGTCAATATTTGACCAACAGTGATGTAGCTTTAACCAAGGTTGGGCAAATTAGAAATGCCCAACACTGTTTTGCCCAACTGTTTTTTACAGTGCATGTCCTCTTCTTCGTCACAATCCTGCCCCAGTATAAGCTTTGGTGAGCTCACTTTTGCTGTAAGGCGAATAGCTGTGTATTTTGAGCTGTGTGTATCTGCTTCAATAATGTTAGCGCTACCGCCTCCCATCTCGCTGTAAAATTGCAAGCCTTTTCCTCGAAGAGAAACTCGAAGTCCTCATCGATCTGAGGTACACATGCAGCAAAGCTTGCTGATGCTTATGAAATCATTTGTTATTATTTACCGTGAGGTTTGGTAAATGCACTCTCAATTGACAAGTTCGCCTACAAGCCCTTTGTTACCTCCGGTGGGAAATTCAGCCCCTAGTTGCCGTTTTGTGCTGTGACACTCATTGCAAGTCGGACCATCAAACAAAACATATGGTCGCAAAAACAAAAGTGAGATTTACACAGTCCGTGACAGTTAAACCTATGCTGTCCAAAATGTGCTCATCGATTGTTATTGATACCAACTTTGTAGTTTGCAACTCCTATGAAATCTATTATAATTTTTGTTACATGGACATACAAGAGACTGGTAGCTAAATTTTTAGCTTCACAATATTTCCTTTGAAATATTTTTAAGTTGAATGCATACAGTGCAGGGTGCTAGGTGTATCACTTTGATGAAGTTCCACCACCAAACAGGATTAAATTAGGGTTGATCGGTTAAATACTATAATCCAGGCAGTTCCAACTACGTGTACTTTGGGAACTTATGGATCACTTCCTTTGCAGTTTTTGACAGGAGAGACCATTTCCTGATGAAGACTGACTGTTTTCTTCAGTTTGTGTTGCACTACTTCGTTATCCGCAACCCGCTTGTTAGTATGCTTCAACCAGTTTACATGCAACTGTTTCCGCTCATGGTCAGTTAGCTGTTCAAACGTTCCACTTGAGCCATGGCCTTCATTTAGCACAGCTTTACAGTCAGGTGCTAAAGTGGATTTGTAGCCTCGATTCGAGTTTTTGATCTTGGCATTGAATGTGACCACAATCAGGGTGTCTGTAATACGGGCGATTCACAATAGTGCGCCCTCAGTGTCTGCAACGCTGTGGCCAATTACAACGCGCAAAATTTGTCGACCCTTCCCGAACGCGCATTGTGTCGACAGATTTTGCTCATTGTGATTGACTAACGCGTTGCAAACTCTTGGTGGCGCACTATTGTGAATCGCCCGTATTACCCGATACTACGAAACCTCGATTTATACCCACCGATATAAATAGATCATGACACAACATGTCAAGGGTCACAAGGAAAGCTCTGGCTGGATCCTTTGTTTAGATGCACTGT